TTACGCCTTCTTTCTTTGCGTGAACATTTGGGCGGCGTTATGCAAATCTTCCCACATCGTGACGTAGACATGTGGGGGCGTGTTAGAATGAGCCATTTTAAGTAGGCGTGGTTGACTCTTAACTTTTATAAAGAATGTCTCTTTGGATTTGAGACTTTAGTCTTTGCAACTTTACAGATCTTCTTTATGCACCAAGAGCTTGTAACACTCCAAAGAGAAAGGAAAAATTGAAATCGCATCATATGACCCCTTTAAGGCTGTCTGATGTTGCCTTATCTGGCACGAGTAAAACACACAGGTGTGTCAGACAGCTAAATTTAGATTTCATACGTGCTCTTCCAGACTACTCACTGATAAAAAGTGTAATACATTTTGTAAAAAAAAAAAAGAAAAGCGGGTTGAGATGAATAAATATTTTTATTTTAGGTACTTTTCAATACAGCTTACTCAGAATTTCAAAAGAAAATCTGTAAGCTGTAATGATGATGTTTTAACTCACCTTGCACATATAATGATGATGACCTTATAAACTCTAGTCCTGCATTGTGATTTGAAGTCTCTCAGTTCAACAGAATGGCTGAACATAAAATCCACAGTATTGCATTTTAATAACTGCATCTCTCACTTTGAAGGTCCTCTCTTCTCTCAAAGATAAGGAGTCAAGGCCAGCCACACAATCCTCACGTGAACAAAAGAGAGGTGAATACACACATTCCCACACTCACATCATGCACTGGCCTCCAAAAGTCTGAGGACTACTAGAAAAATTCTTATATTGTGTATTTTTATTTCATTATTTATAATTAAACGCAGCATTTTCAATTAGAAATGTCTATTTCAGTAAAATACTGCAATACTACAAAATCAAACATTATCCTAGAAATAAATGACACATGCAACAGAGCAATATTTGTATAAAATATATTGTATCAAATTTCATTTATTGCTTTTTTTTAAATAGTGTTACTCTAAGAACTTGGAAAAGTGAATATTAATCCAGATGAATAATCTTAATTTTATGCTTGCAGGATTTACCTAAAATGTGGTTGCCAGCAGGCAACAGGGACAATCACTGCCCCGTCTGTTTACAGATTGCCAGCTATCCCGTAGAGACCAACTGCGGGCATCTATTCTGTGGTGTGTATCAACCTACTTAAAACACACATCACTGCAAAACAAACAAAATAAGTATTTGCATAAACAGTATCTCATGTCAGTGTTTTACAATGTTAATCATCATGCTGGTTTACTTTAGCTTAAGGTGCTTTAGACTAATGTAACTGGCATACTGTGAGAGAGCAGATGATGGTGGCCATTTACACTCCAAGCACTGAACACTTACCCAGTCATGTGACTCTACAGTGTTGTATATGGAGTTAAATATTATACTGTTGCCATAGTTACAATAGCAGAGTCTCTCACCTGACCCAGATCACGTGAATACACACTCAGAGAGGGAATATTTGTAGATTTATGTCAATAGTAAACTACAAGGTTAATACAAAATTCGAAACTGTTCGTAATTCTTGCACCACAGGCAAATCAGCACATTAAAGAGACTGAAATAAAGAGCAGCAAAGATAATACAAGCAACAAAAAGTAGACAAAAATAATGATATGTGCTGCATGTCTCTTTCAGGTTTGATTACCCGTTCAATATTTATTATTATTATTCCTTCTAGTCACATCAGCTCTACTAAATATATAAAAAGTAGTGAACCCGACCAGCTTCTTTGTTAAATACTTGCTATTGAGAAAAACATTTATTGAATGTGATGTGCCAGATTTACCTGAATCAAAACATAAATAGCAACAAACCATATTTTTGTGTGGTTTTAACATGATGTGAATGGTGGAATCCAAATGACATTTCTGAATCACTGAAGCCAATGCATTTCAGTGGAAAAGCACATTTATTTTGATCTATCTGATAAAAATTGTTTAGAATGACCTATTAAAAATAATAACACATTTCTGGCACATGGTAAAGGAGAGGCCCACGCTTATCTGTCTTCTGTCTCGTTCCCTCTCTAGCACCATGTCTGATATCTTACTGGAAACATTGCTCCTGGTTAGATGCCATCAGCTGTCCTTTGTGCAGACAGACGGTAAGAGATTTCTTAGCTGATACATGCTTCTTAAAGAAAAATAAATACATTTTATTTTGTTTTATTTGATATTTTAGTTCTGAATAAAACTTTTCTTTCTTTCTCTTAAATCTTATGTACCCTAAATGTTTAAATGGTAGTGAATGACAATTTTCTGCAAAACTATTAAGCTGCACAACTGTTTTCAACATTGACAATAATACTTAATGTTTCTTAAGGAACCAAATCAGCGTATTAGAATGATTTGATTAGATGATTACTAAAGAGTAATGGCTGCTGAATGTAGCTTTGCCATCACAGGAGTAAATTGCAGTTTAAAGGATATTAAAATAGAAAACAGCTATTTTAAATTGTATTAATATTTCACAATTACTGTTTTTACTGTGTGTGTGTGTGTATATATATATATATATATATATACACAGAAAAGGTAAAGCTCTCATTTTATTTGTCTTTTATTCTTTCTTTATTCTCAGGTGAATAAGATGTGCCATCTCTTCAGAGAGACCAGAACTGACTGTAAAGAGGCAGAAGTGCTCAAACATGTCAGAGACTATAACAAGCGCTACTCCGGAGCACCAAGACAGGTACAAACATTTGCTTAAAGTTGGTCTAAAGCAATAATGTGTCTTTTTTTTTTTAAATGCCACGTCAGACTGTAATCATATCAGTTTCCTTTTTGGGTAGTCAGACTGGCAAACAATGCGATTGTAGCTACTGTAATGCTCTCAAAGACAAGTGACGGCTGACTTGAAAAACTACATTATATAACCATTCATTGTGTTGACAAACTCGTGCCGCTCCCAGTAAATTTGTACAATTACTATTATTACTTCTCAGCAGAGTGTTTATCATTTTATTTGCTCTGGATTATATCACATCACCACACCTATTTTAGTTCCTGATGCCACAAAGGTTGTGAAACCTCAGGCCAGGAAGGAGTTTCCTACAGTTGGAAGACACCCATGGACATGTTTTTATTGTTCAGATACGCAGCACACACTGATATCCCACGTGCTAGTACATATGCTACAGTATGATTGTCATCTTTTCCCTTTTTTAGGTAAAGGATTACTTGTGCGATACACCCCTCTTCCTGCGCTTTCTGGTGCGATGGCTGGGGAACATGGGCGGCCTGGTGTGGCTGTTTCTCTTGAGGGTGGCTGTCTGTGGATTTGGCGCTGCCATGTCTTTGGCCTCCCCACTGGAGACTCTTCCTGGGCCGCTGAGCAGTGTGCTGGGCATGCTGGATGATTTTGTAGTGGTCTTCCTTCTTCTCATCTGCATTATTAACATCAACCAGCAGATGGGGCCGCAGAGGACAAGAACACACTCGGTCATGCAGGGTGTGCTGACCGACACGTTGTAGAGGACAGTGATGATGTGCTTACTGGCATGTTGAAATTACACTAATCAACCTTGTTGGCAAAGGTTAACAGTGTTATGGCCTGCTGCACTTTGATCTTATTGAACATGGATTTTCAATGATGATGTGTCTAGAATAGACATACAGCACTAAATGAGATGAGTGGAATTCTGAGGTTTTAAAAACAGCAATTTAAGGTGTTTTATTAAAGACATTGTATATAATAAATGTAAAGTGGTTTTGTAAATATGCAAGTTTATAATAAATATTTATATATAAATGTATTCTTTTTTTTATGGTGTCTGAATACTTGATTCTAGCTGTGCATTTTCTTTCTGCAA